TTTCAAAAAGGCGGGGCATAGAGAGGAGAAACAATAATGTACAGTATGTGGAAAATAATGTTTTTTTAACTTTAAACCGCATAAACACATTTCATTACACCAAATACACAAAATAATGTTTTTTTTAGCAGCATCATACGACCCCTTTAATAATTTACACTGAACTTTTTCAAAGGTTAAGGAGTATTAACCCTCTACTGCACACATTTTGATGGTACATGATAAAAAATTATTCCACATCATTTTTTGGTTTATTTGGGAACATTTTATTGATAAAACATTTTTTGACCTCCCCTCACCCCAAAATATTTTTTTGTTGCCTTAGGGCAACGTTGTGCAACAATGGTGCAGAATCACAGAGAAAATTCATATAGACAATCATAAGACAATGTTCAGAGAGCAATACAAAATCACAAATCTGTCAAAAAATGTCAAGAAATCATTAAATGAAAAGGGAAAAACACTTGATTTTGATATACTGCATTTGATACAGAAACTTCGGTCCTGGAGGGCCACTGTCCTGCAAAGTTTAGCTCCAACCCTAATTAAACACACCTGCCAGTAGCTTTCTAGTGATCTTAAAAGACATTCATTAGCTGGTTCTGATGTGTTTGATTAGGGTTGGAGCTAACTCTGCAGGACAGTGGCCCTCCAGGACTGAAGCTTCCCAGCCCTGATGTAGTGTCGTGTCATATCATGTACTTCATGGAATGAGATTTTACTCTGTGTGAAACTTCAAAAAGCGCTGCTTCTCTGCTGTGAAACAGAATTGCACATTACACTTTTTGCACATCACTTTGGGTGTTCCTGTGCACCCAGGAACCTTGCATCTTCCCTTTTTGTCACACATTATTTGCCCGTATGTATTGTCAATGGGAAATCCTGGTTAGGGATGGGAGCTGTGGACTAGAGGTCTTCACGGGTCCACTTGGATCCGAAAACCCGAGGTCCGACCCGAGACCCAAGCGGGTCCGGGTCCAAAACTTCGACGAGTACCTCGGACACGGGTCGGGTTCGGTATTGGCGGCCTCGGTTCTCGGGTAATTTAAAATAAACATGCTTTTCCCAAATGGACCCGATTAGACCCGAATTCTTTTAAACTATCCCGAATGCGTAGGTTACTTTCACTTTCGTGTTAAGAGAGGAACGCACATAGAAAAGGAGCATACGTTCGTAATCCTCGCACACAGACATCATCTTATAGATATGAGATCCATCAGGAAAATCCACTCGCTTCATTATGCTGCGTGTTCATGCAGGGAAAAAATATACTTTTTCTCATTTTCAAAAGAATTACATATTGATATTATATTCTAAATGCCTGAAATGGTTTAACTAACAAACAATACAATATTGTGTGTATTTTAGCTTTCTTGCCACAAAGCATGATGGGAAATGTGGTTTGGTTGTTTAGTAGTTTGGGTATTGAGTTTCCCTCTGGTAATTTACGACTCTACTGCACACATTTTGATGGTACATGATAAAAATGTTTCCACATCATTTCTTGGTTCATTTGGGAACATGTTATTGGTAAAACATTTTTTTGACCACCCCCCATAACCATGGTGCAGAATCATAGAGAAAATTCTTAATTCACATATCATAAGGCAATGGTCGGAGTGCAATACAAAATCACAAATCTTTGTCAAAAATGTCAAGAAATCATTAAGTAAAAAGGGAAAAACACACTGATATATTGGATTTGATACAGGCATAGTTTTGTATCATGCAGTGTGTCGTGTCATATGCATGTCCTTCATGTAATGAGATTTTACTCCGTGTGAAACTTCAAAAAGCACTTCTTCTCTGCTGTGAAACAGAATTGCACATTACACTTTTTGCACATCACTTTGGGTGTTCCTGTGCACCCAGGAACCTTGCATCTTCCCTTTTTGTCACACATTATTTGCCCGTATGTATTGTCAATGGGAAATCCTGGTGAGCTGTGGAAGCTGTGGACTAGAGGTCTTCACGGGTCCACTTGGATCAGAAAACCCGAGGTCCGACCCGCGGGTCCGGG